AAAAAGTTATTTGAATCACGTTCAAACAAGCCAAGGCAACATTACTACTCCGAGCATTAGGAGTTTGTGGAGCAAGATGGTTAGCTTTGCACGGTACTTCCATAATGGAGGAACTAGAACTCTAGGGAGAGCTCCAACCATTGATGGCGCACGAGATGTGTGGAGCTCTAGGAAGTAGGAGTTGGTGAGTCCCTCGGAAATTCAAGTAAATTTTGAGTTCTTGCGATCACTTGAAATTGAAATTCCTATAAGAACAGGATGATCTTATGTGTCAGTAAGAAAATTTGAAGATTGTGAAATTGTAAAATTAAGGATCAATTGTTTCATATACATAGTAGTATTAAGATTTTTGTTGTACTAACAAACCCCTTTTTGTTTACTTTTTCTTTACTCAAGAAATCTCATTCAATTTTCAAAAATCACAAGCAATAACTTCAAACCATATAGGTTTTTCTTTACTCAAGAAATCTCATTTAATTTTCAAAAATCACAAGTAGTAACTTCAAACCATATAGGTAAGGGAGACGCTTTTCTCTAGTCCACACAATGGACTGGAGCGTGCTGTTGAGCCCGTAAGGCCTACCACGGGTTTCGTTTCGATAATCCGAACCGTATAATGAAATTATTATATTACTCTTTGATATTGTATTTAAATATGTAATTATGACATAATTACACTCCCCCTTACCTAATAAATGACGCCAACGGAGAGTATTACTTATAGATGGATTAATTATACTTTTCACCCTTATAGTTTAATTAAAATTTCACTTTGATTTATATAGTTTCAAATTGAACAATTTAATTCCGATAGTTTAAATCTAGTTTCAGTTTAATTTTTTCATTCAAATTAGAGGTTAAAGTTAATACTTTTGATACACTTGTCAGTAATCTAAGATGCACACACAGAAAAAATAAACAAAAATTTAAAATGCAATGACCGCGTTGAAAAAATGAACTGATGCAATTTTCATTTTGGGGAGCAGTGTACCAGCTAGGGCTGAAAAGTTTGACTTTCTCTGATAAATTACACTTTTATCGCCCAAAACTTAAGTTATGCAAATTATATTTTTGTGATGAGTAAAAATTAATATGTTTTTGGGTAAAAAAAAAAAAAAAAAAAACCATCTTAAGATTTGTGTCACAAAATTTTGTAATGTTAATAAAGACATACCATATGCATCCTTTTAGGCATGCACAAAATAACATCCCCTCTTTTTATATAATGCTAATAAAATGCTAATAAGATAAGAAGAGACTATTCTTACTCATACCAACCTGAGAAGAAAAAAAAAATTTGAACTTTTCTTTCTTTTCGTTAGTGTGAACTTCCAGCAGAATTACTTCAATTCACCCAATCGAATAGAAAAATCAATGAGCATCAAACCTTCAAGCTCCAGAATAATCAAATGAAGCTCCAGTTTACATAAACCAGATGGGAACTAGAAAGTTTTTCCAGGTTGAAAACAGCATTTCAATGAAAAATCCCAATTAGAGAAGTAGCCCCAGGGAGAAGAATTAGTGCTGGTCCATAATCCAAACCTCATCTGCTAACAATTTTCAAATTTTGGTACAGTAGATAAGATATAATAATAATAATAATAATAATAATAATAAATAAAAAATACATCCCACAATTCTGTGTGCTCGTATTCATCTGGTTAATAATAACTTAGTACAAAATTCAACCTTAATTAGTGTTTCCATGGATTTTAATCAAAAGCTTAAGCATAAACATTTCAGTTTTCAATTTTTGCATTATCTTCTACACTAATGCATTGAAATAGGTTCTGGCATATACGTTGTGAGAAAAGGCTAAACTGAGCTTGAACTGAGCTTTAGACTGTATTTAGATTATGGATTGGGGTAAAACTTAAAAAAGAAAAAGAAAAAATATGTGTGAAATATAATTATATTTCTAAATTTGTACTCAAATTCATAATCTAAACACAGTTTTAATCTCTCTTGAGCTTGTTATGTTTACAAAACACAGAATGTTTCCCAACAAATTCCCACACGACAGCAAGCTGATAATTAGAAGCTTTTGAAGCCCAGAACTTGGAAGCACATCTTACAAAACCCAAAGCACAGCCCTCAATTCTCCTTCCTCCTTTAGGTCTTCTCACATAGTTTAAATATAGTGTCTCCTTTCTTCTAATACACTTGTTTACACCTAAAAAACTATATCAATCATTGTACCACACCTTAACTATTATTTTCAAAAATTAATTTGACCCTTTTCCTTTTAATTATATAAATTTTATACTCGAACTATTCAAATTAGAATCAAATTGACCTCTGCGGTCCATAATCAAATGAAATCTGTTGATTTGACCCTCAAAGATAGTATTTCTTGCCCATGTACATCCTAATTTCGATTTGGAACCCCGACGTAATCCACACCGTGATTGTTTCTCACATATATGGTTAATTTCAATTTGGAAACCTAATATATAATTCACACTTGTGACTATTTCTCACATACATGATTGTCAAATATAGATGGGAAACACCACTTTTTCTTCCAAACGAAGAGTCAGGAATCAGGTTAGATAATGTCTAATTGTAGACGACATGTGATAGGATTCAAATTTATCCCAATTCGAATAGCTAACGTGTAGTAAAATTGATATACTTAAAAAGATTAAAAAAAATCTAATTAATTTTTGAGAAATAATTTGAGAAGTAAAATGAAGTTTATTGGGGGTTGTTAACATCAAGATAAATAAAACAAGCTCCAAACAATTTTACTTTTTTTTTCCCCCCTCAGAGGCACACACATGGATGAATTAGAAACAAACCAAGTTATAGATATAACAAACAATTCTACTTTCTAGAAAATAAAAAATAAAATAAAAATTAAGGAGGGTACCTTTCTATCACGGGTGAAATTGAACTTGGACAATCTTCGAGAAATGGGACTTCTGAGAAGATTAATTCATCCATTAGCCAAACTGTATTGCAAAACAATACAGTGCATATATATATATATATATATATATTAAAAACTAGAGTAAATTACAATTACTATCAAAATCTCACTTTGATCTATTTACTTTCAATTATAACAATTAATCCCTTCCTCTTTAAATCAAGTTTCAATGTCATCTTTCCATCCATCTACAGTTAATAATGCTAACGGGAATTAAAAGTTGCGGGACTAAAGTGAGATTTTGATTAAAGTGTAAAAGTACTAATGAGAGAATAAAAATGTCACAATATGCTTCAAATAATAAGTTTCGTCAACTTTGTTAACGGTAGACAGATTAAAAGATGAGATTGTAACTTGACTTAAAGTATAAGAAGTTGACTATTATAATTAAAATTGAAAGAATTAAAGTGAGATTTTAATAAAAATTCAAAGGTATTATGTGTAATTAACCCTAAAAACTATGTATTCCATCCATACTAGCCTTAGGTTTCTTAGCAAACAAAACATTAAGAAGTGGTGAATGTTCTTTAATTCAAAGAGGATAACATCAAGCCAATTGGTTCCCAATCCAATTACCCAAGAGAGTTTGAGAATGGCAATATCACAGCAACTTTTCTTGAAACCCCTTATGAGTAGAGGTGTATACAGATTGCATTGGTCCGATTTTAGAGTAAATTAGGAATGGAACCCTTTTTACGGTCCCAGAAACCGTTAAACCCTAAACTGTTAACCTATGAAACTGGATTAGAATCAAACCATAGAAACCGATTTGGTTTGGTTCAGTTCGATTTACGGTTTTAAAAAAATTATACAACAATAAATATGATATATATTTTATATTAGTAAATAAATTAGTAATAACAATCCCACTAATAGCTCGAAATAGTCGAGACTCGAGTGGCCCGAATTTGACTTTTCAACTCTCTCTCTCTCTCTCTCTCTCTCTCTCTCTCTCTCAAACACACAACAGTTTTTGCCTTTCCACACAATTTCCTCTCTCTCTCCCTCTCTCAAACATGACTGAGTCACAGAATTCCACTTCCAAGTGTTTTTTGGGCATACTCCCATCCAATCTCATCACCGACCCCACCACCACCACCATCCGAACCACCACCACCACCACCTTCAAAAACCTAAAAAAAGATTTCAAAACCCAAGTTAAGACCTCAGGAGTAGTCACAAGACTCATGGGTCTAGACTTACTCCCAGACCTCAACTTGATTCCAAAACACTCCTTCATTCTTCATAGCAGATCAGTCAATTCCGTCGATTACTTCCCAGATTTCGATCCCACTCTTTTCCACCATCGCCGAGTTAGAACATCACTATTGTTTCGCAAAGTTCCAACCTTTCTCTGACATCAACAACAACAAAAGCAAAATCTTGATTTTTTCTGTTTTGTGCTTCGAGAAAGTATGTGGAAATGGAGGGAACAAAATGGGTTTGAGTTCTGACATGGGTTTGAAAGAATTAAAGCAGAAAGAGATGAAAGTAGAGAGAAACTGAGAATTTAAGAAAGAGAGTTTTTGAAAACAAGAGAAAGGCTTTTAGGAGAAAGGAAGGTCAGCCAAGCAGGCTATCTGGAAATTGTTCTTCGAAGGTTGACAATGTTAATTTGGATCGTAAATGTTAGAATGGTTGAAAGAAAGGGAAAATTGAGTATTTGTATTACTGAATTAAATAACCATGTACAAGAGCTCCTATATATAGGAGAGTGATACAATCCTAATATAACTCTAATTCCTAATTTATGATATACATTAACAATGATATACATTAATTAGGATAATTAGGATATATATACATTCTTTAAGATATACATTAACAGCTCCCCTCAAACTCAAGGTGGGTAAGCATCAACCAACTTGGGTTTGGAAACTAGATCACTAAAACGACCAGAAGAATGAACCTTGGTGAAGATGTCGGCTGTTTGATCGGCAAAGATAACAAAGATAAGACGAACAGTGCCACTAGTAACATACTGTCGTATGAAGTGACAATCAATCTCAATATACTTGTGCGATCATGAAAGACATCATTATAGGCAATCTGAATAGCACTCTGATTATTACAATAAAGGTTTAATCACAGTAGAATGAGAAACCCCCATATCCGAAAGAAGCCAGCGAAGCCACACAAGCTGCTGAGTAGTGTCAGCAAGAGCACGATACTTAGCCTCTGTACTAGAATGAGCAACAAGAGTTTGCTTCTTGCTACGCCAGGCAAGGAGAGAGTCACCCAAGAAGAAGCAGAATCCTATAGTAGAACGGTGATCAATAGGATCATCTGCCCAATCTGCATTAGAAAATGCGTGTAACTGTGGAGATGAGTATGCTGAGTAGAAAAGATCATGAAACATAGTTCCTTTGAGATAGTGCAAAATGCGAACCAAAGCATCATAATGTGGAGAGCGAGGAGCAACCATGAACTGACTAACAATGTGAACAGCATAGGCAATGTCTGGACAAGTAACTGTGAGATAAAAAAGACTGCCAACTAGCTGACGATATAACGTAGCATCAAACAACAGGTGACCGTCAAGAGGTGTGAGACGAGTCTGAGGATCAATTGTGGTAAGAGAAATCTTGCAATCAGTAAGACCAGCACGAGCCAAGAGATCAAAGGCATACTTAGCCTCGGTGAGAAAGTAACCAAATGGATCATGAGAAATTTCTAAGACGAGGAAGTAACTAAGCAAGCCTAAATCTTTCGTTTCAAACTGGCGACTGAGGAACTGTTTGAGACTAGAGATACTCACTGTGTCATCCCCAGTGATGATCATATCATCAACATAGAGAAGAAGAACAATAACACCACACTTTGTCTTACGTATAAATAGAGCAGAATCATAGGTACTAGAAGAGAATCCAAAGTCGCTAATGGTAGAATTGAACTTGGCAAACCAGGCATAAGGAGCTTGTTTTAAACCATATAAAGCACATCAAAGTTTACAAACCTTAGTAGACGAAACTGAGGAACTAGAAAGAGACTGCATATAAACTTCCTTAGTGAGATCGCCATTGAGAAGGGCATTTTTACCATCTATCTGACAAAGACTCTAATGACGAGCAGCAACAACAGCAAATAGGTTGCAAACTGAAGTAAGACGAGCAACAAGAGCAAATGTTTTCTCGTAATCAATCTCATATTCTTGAGTAAATGCCCAAGCAACAAGACGAACTTTGTAACGCTCAATGGAACCATCAAAGTGGGTTTTCATCTTGTAAACCCATTTGCAACTAACAACACTCTTGCCAAGTGAAAGGTCAACTACATCCTAGGTATGAGTTTTATCTAAAACCTACAATTCATCACTCATAACTTGCTACCAAAGAGGGTTAGACCAAGCCTCTTGATATGAAGTAGGTTCATGAGAAGAAAAAGCAGTGAAACTAACCATGAAATCACGAATAAGTATAGAAGGTTATGTTACCCGAGTAGAATGATGAAGAGGTACCTTTGGTGTAGAAGATGATGTAGTGGAATCAAAGGATGTATAAGGCTCACTAGGAGAGGGAATGATAACAAGACTAAGAGGTGGAGTAGGAGCAGGTACAGAAGCTAGCTCAGGATTAAGGAGTGGAGCAGTAAGACCAAGAGGTGGAGCAAAATCCTCAAGATGGTCCGGAGTCATCATGTCAGAAATAGTGTCTGTATCAAGCTCATCAAATAGAAGAGAGGGATCTATAAAGAATGGTGTAGTGAGAGGAGTGGAGTGGACAAATGAAACTTAGATGTAGAGGAAATCATTTTGTGTTCCCAAAGTACTACATGACGAGAGACATGAAGATGACAAGAAAGAGGATCCTAACAACGATAACCTTTATGTTCAATCACATACCCCAAGAAGCAACACAAACGGGCGCGAGGTTCTAATTTGGTATGCTTATGTGGTTGAAGAAGAACAAAACAAGCACATCCAAACACACGAAGACCAGTATAGGCAGGAGGTGCGCCATACAGACGCTCATATGGGGTTTGATTATTGATGGTAGGGGAAGGAACATGGTTGATAGTATAGACTACTGTGAGAGCAGCTTCTCTCAAAAAAACGTTCAGGACAAAAAGAAGAGATTAAAAGAGCACGAACAGTGTCTAGGATATGGCGATGTTTGAGCTCAGCATGACCATTTTGTTAGGAGGTACCAAGACAAGAATAATGAGAAAGCGTACCATTTTGACGAAGGAATATCAAAAAATGAGTTTCTTTGTATTCCTAAGCATTATCAGTACGAAAAATTTTGATGGTAAAGGAAAACTGAGTTTTGACCATGTGAGAAAAATCATAGTATATTTGGTGTAATTCAGAGCGAGATTTCATAAGAAATAACCAGGTAAAACAAGTGAAATCATCAACAAATATAATAAAGTATTTAGATCCCCACATAGTGGTATTAGGTGAAGGCCCCCAACCATCAGAGTGTATGAGATTAAAAGGTGCATGAGACATAGAGGTACTAGTAGTAAATGGCAAGGCAGGTTGTTTTGCAATTTGACAAGATAGACAGTCTACTTTACCATTTGAAACATCACCTAACTAACCACTTAAAACTAGAGGGTGTAAACAACCAAAAGACACATGACCTAACCAAGAATGCCATAAAGCAAGAGGGGAACTAATAGTAACAGAGGTAGTAGTCTCAACATTGGAAGGACTAGAGGAGGGAATGCGAAGGTGGATAATCTCATATAGACATCCATGTCTACGACCTATCCCAAGGGTTTGTCCCGTCTTCGGATCCTGCACAACACAACCAATTGGAGAAAATAGAACAGTGATGCCAAGATCACAGAGTTGACCAATAGAGATAAGATTAAGCGTAAGATTAGGGATCAGCTAAGTGCAAGGGAGAGAGACATTAGAGGTAGAAATATGACCTACATGAGTAATATGCATTTGAAAACCATAAGTAGTATGAATACTAGGTAAATTAGAAGGACATGTGGTGGAAAAAAACAGTGTAGGGTCAGAGGTCATATGGTTACAACAAGCCAAATCAAAATACCATGAAGAGGTACCTGGGGTGACTGAGATAGCAGTAGAAGGTGTGCTAGAAGTGTAAATAAATAAAAATAAAAATTCCACTCACATCTGCCTAAACCCCTCCAAAAAAATTAGAACAAAAATAACACAAACACTTTGACACAAATCAAAGATACAATAGTCTTTTCCTCATATTGGGTTTTGTGTGTGTGTGTGTGTGTGTGTGTGTGTGTGTGTGTGTGTAAACCTTCTTCTCATATTGGTTTCCATACTGCAACTCAAAACCTACAATTCAAAGTTTAGGAAAAAACAAAAAAAGAAGAAAGCATCAAACTGAAAGATAGTAATAGTACTAATCTCCTACGTGCATGGAATTTCATTATATTCATCTCTCTCTCTCTCTCTCTCTCTCACACACACAACATTTTTTGCCTTTCCACACAATTTCCTCTCTCTCTCCCTCTCTCAAACATGACCGAGTCACAGAATTCCACTTCCAAGTGTTTTTTGGGCATACTCCCATCCAATCTCATCACCGACCCCACCACCACCACCATCCGAACCACCACCACCACCACCTTCAAAAACCTAAAAAAAGATTTCAAAACCCAAGTTAAGACCTCAGGAGTAGTCACAAGACTCATGGGTCTAGACTTACTCCCAGACCTCAACTTGATTCCAAAACACTCCTTCATTCTTCATAGCAGATCAGTCAATTCCGTCGATTACTTCCCAGATTTCGATCCCACTCTTTTCCACCATCGCCGAGTTAGAACATCACTATTGTTTCGCAAAGTTCCAGCCTTTCTCCGACAACAACAAAAACAAAAGTAAAATCTCGATTTTTTCTGTTTTGTGCTTCGAGAAAGTATGTGGAAATGGAGGGAACAAAATGGGTTTGAGTTCTGACATGGGTTTGAAAGAATTAAAGCAGAAAGAGATGAAAGTAGAGAGAAACTGAGAATTTAAGAAAGAGAGTTTTTGAAAACAAGAGAAAGGCTTTTAGGAGAAAGGAAGGTCAGCCAAACAGGCTATCTGGAAATTGTTCTTCGAAGGTTGACAATGTTAATTTGGATCGTAAATGTTAGAATGGTTGAAAGAAAGGGAAAATTGAGTATTTGTATTACTGAATTAAATAACCATGTACAAGAGCTCCTATATATAGGAGAGTGATACAATCCTAATCTAACTCTAATTCTTAATTTATGATATACATTAACAATGATATACATTAATTAGGATAATTAGGATATATATACATTCTTTAAGATATACATTAACAGCTCCCCTCAAACTCAACGTGGGTAAGCATCAACCAACTTGGGTTTGGAAACTAGATCACTAAAACAACCAGAAGAATGAACCTTGGTGAAGATGTCGGCTGTCTGATCGGCAAAGATAACAAAGATAAGACGAACAGTGCCACTAGTAACATACTATCGTATGAAGTGACAATCAATCTCAATATACTTGTGCGATCATGAAAGACATCATTATAGGCAATCTGAATAGCACTCTGATTATTACGATAAAGGTTTAATCGCAGTAGAATGAGAAACCCCCATATCCGAAAGAAGCCAGCGAAGCCACACAAGCTGCTGAGTAGTGTCAGCAAGAGCACGATACTCAGCCTCTGTACTAGAATGAGCAACAAGAGTTTGCTTCTTGCTACGCCAGGCAAGGAGAGAGTCACCCAAGAAGAAGCAGAATCCTATAGTAGAACGGTGATCAATAGGATCATCTGCCCAATCTGCATTAGAAAATGCGTGTAACTGTGGAGATGAGTATGCTGAGTAGAAAAGATCATGAAACATAGTTCCTTTGAGATAGTGCAAAATGCGAACCAAAGCATCATAATGTGGAGAGCGAGGAGCAGCCATGAACTGACTAACAATGTGAACAGCATAGGCAATGTCTGGACAAGTAACTGTGAGATAAAAAAGACTGCCAACTAGCTGATGATATAACGTAGCATCAAACAACAGGTGACCGTCAAGAGGTGTGAGACGAGTCTGAGGATCAATTGTGGTAAGAGAAATCTTGCAATCAGTAAGACCAGCACGAGCCAAGAGATCAAAGGCATACTTAGCCTCGGTGAGAAAGTAACCAAATGAATCATGAGAAATTTCTAAGACGAGGAAGTAACTAAGCAAGCCTAAATCTTTCATTTCAAACTGGTGACTGAGGAACTGTTTGAGACTAGAGATACTCACTGTGTCATCCCCAGTGATGATCATATCATCAACATAGAGAAGAAGAACAATAACACCACACTTTGTCTTACGTATAAATAGAGCAGAATCATAGGTACTAGAAGAGAATCCAAAGTCGCTAATGGTAGAATTGAACTTGGCAAACCAGGCATAAGGAGCTTGTTTTAAACCATACAAAGCACATCAAAGTTTACAAACCTTAGGATACGAAACTGAGGAACTAGAAAGAGACTGCATATAAACTTCCTTAGTGAGATCGCCATTGAGAAGGGCATTTTTAGCATCTATCTGACAAAGACTCTAATGACGAGCAGCAACAACAGCAAATAGGTTGCGAACTGAAGTAAGACGAGCAACAAGAGCAAATGTTTTCTCGTAATCAATCTCATATTCTTGAGTAAATGCCCGAGCAACAAGACGAACTTTGTAACGCTCAATGGAACCATCAAAGTGGGTTTTCATCTTGTAAACCCATTTGCAACTAACAACACTCTTGCCAAGTGAAAGGTCAACTACATCCTAGGTATGAGTTTTATCTAAAACCTACAATTCATCACTCATAACTTGCTACCAAAGAGGGTTAGACCAAGCCTCTTGATATGAAGTAGGTTCATGAGAAGAAAAAGCAGTGGAACTAACCATGAAATCACGAAGAAGTATAGAAGGTTATGTTACCCGAGTAGAATGATGAAGAGGTACCTTTGGTGTAGAAGATGATGTAGTGGAATCAAAGGATGTATGAGGCTCACTAGGAGAGGGAATGATAACAGGACTAAGAGGTGGAGTAGGAGCAGGTACAGAAGCTAGCTCAGGATTAAGGAGTGGAGCAGTAAGACCAAGAGGTG